CCCACGGCAATTTGCCCATATTGAGTGATTGTGTTGAAAAATGAAAATTACCAGACTTATTCATTATCGCCATAACCAATTTCTGTGTTTTAAGCAGATGAATTAAATTCCAATTTTGTCGGCAAATGGTGGAGATTATAAGGCCGTTTTGCAGAGTATTCCCAATAGAATTTAAAATTTCAAAAGCGTCAAAACAAGTTCACTTCTTTTTAAAAAAATTCAAAATTAACTTAATGCAACAACTCTCTGTGCTATACCGACATAGTTTTTTTTTAATGTTTTACTATCATGATCTGAATCCAACGTTGAAAAATTATTAAACGAGCACAATTGACTGACTATGCTTATTTGTTGATTAAATCGCAGGTTCATAATATATACGTAATGATTTATTTAATTGCTTCGAGTTTGTGAGTTTTTAAATCGTCGTAATTTTTGTACTTTCTTGAACATTGAGTGCAACAGAGGTGTCACCGCCAGGAATACCGCTTCCTATTGTTAAATGTGAATGAGCCCACCATTTACTGAAGCCAAACACTTTAACCCGAGGCGACTGATCCCTCTGTACCGAATCCACTGAATTACCAATTCCAACTTGCCCAGAGTTTAAAGATCACATAATGTCTGGATAAAACATTATACCTATGAATAAAATGTGGCATTTACCTTTCTCTAAAAAGTACAATTTCATAAAATGGCTGGTCTAGATGGGTTTTCAGTAAATGCGTTAAGCAGATATGCTTGATTAAAAGTAATTAATACTTAATCCAATTACTTATTAGTAGATACTGAAAGGATTCTTGCACATTATTCAAATCAAGGCCAACTGTTTGACCAATAAGATAATAGTTTTAAATTTGTTCAAAAATTCAATTTATTGGTAATTAAGATTACATCAACTGTGTGGGCGCTATTTTTAGTGCTACTAATATCAAAAATATTGAAGGAAAAATCCTTTTAACACCCATGAAGAAGGCTTGATTGTTCATTCAATAACATACTTATAGCCCATGTTCTTAAATAAGAAGATTAATAAGCAAAGTACGAAAAAGCAGAGTGTATTCTTTAAATTAACGGCTTTCGTAAGTTTGTGCATCAAATTACCTATATTCATAGCTGGGTCTTGCATGACTTATTATAACACATATTTATATCAAATGGCAGGCTTTATGATGGGTATTAATATTCATTTAATTGATTTCGTGCTTAAGGAGGGGAGGAATATAAAAGTCAAAAAGTCGAGGGGGAGGGGGGGGGGTAGAAGAGTATTTATCAGATGTAAAAGAGACAAGGTAAGATGAGTACTGTGAAAGTGGTTGATTTTGACATACCGTGGGGTCATGGTAGTTACATGTCACCTGCCAGTTTATGGATTTTCTGACGCATGAGTGTATGTTGCTCAGGTTGTACCACGTGGAAGTAATTCTATAGAGCATCTCACTTATTATTGTGCTTGTAGATAGATTATATACAGTCATTGTCATTTAATTAATGCATGTAACCGACATTGTCCTTTGCTTTTAGTTGGAAATGCGTATATTGGACGTGGATATTTACCTCGTTGTCTACGCAGTGGACGAGGAATCCACATTTAAACTGGCCAAGTCAATTTTCAAACAATTGCAAGATATTAAACTACAACACAACAAACTCAGACTCTTCTACTTAGTCGGAAATAAAACGGATCTCGTGAGACGTCGTCAGGTGACTACCCAAAGTAAGTTATTTTATCACCCCACCTCCCAACCAATTGCCTTGCATTCTATCTAAGGACATATATAACTTCTCCTCAAATGTGCGCCTTTCTCCGACGTTACTTCAATTGTTTTAATTAAGACAAATTAAATTAAAGATGATTTGATTTAATCCAATTCACAGGGTGCGATTTAATTAGAAATCAAACAATGTATTTGCCATGAACTTAATTATCTTTTTAATTTAAATCTGTTCATAAAATTGACTTATGATTTTCCCACTCTATATATATTAACATATTTCAGTTAGACAGTTTTTTAAGAAATTTAAATAAAAATTTTGTATTTTGTAAAAATTATGAACTTTGGCAGTTAAAATGTCCACAACCGTAAAGTAAAACAATAATTTAAAATAGGTAGATTAAATAGGCTTAAAGCAAACTTTGAAATTACGTTTTTGTGACCTTGAATTGGACATGAGTAAGTGCCTTTCCTGCATGCCTATGTCTAAAATGAGATTCTGAGGCATAAAATCACATTTTTAAGTTAAAGAGCCAAGTTCTAAACCATTTTTTAATACAAAAAAAAACGAATAACCATTTTTCATAATACTTTATTTAACGTTTGATTGTCACATTATTTTTAATTCAAAAAACTGATATAAATTCCTATTCTGCCAACGGTTTAACTCATTTGAAAATATTAAAATGTTGAGCAACTTCCTTCCCTGTGTTAGTTAACTGAGAAACACACTTGATCTAAGTATGAAAGTATTAATTTCAAAATTGCATTGAAATTTAACTTGCCTTTAAATGGCCTCGGTTAACAACAGAAAATCAGCTGTCTCGCTTTTCTCTCCATATTTTTTTATTTTTTTGAAATGCTGCCACCTCCATTTAGCCAAACTCTTTTCTTTGAAGATATTTACAGTCGACCTTTCTATTTTATTTTACTCATAGAAATCATTTAAAAGCCACCAGTTAATGCTTTGCGAGTTGATTGCAAAAAGGAGATTTAAAAAGTAATGTGACTTCATCATTTGAATTCGCGTTTATTTTCTGAAATTTAAATGACGCAGACTAGTCCTCACAGATATTGTTAAAATGAGAAAAAAATATTTTTTAATTAATTCGCCGGCTTCACATTTTGAGGAGAAAAAATTTGTCTCTTGCTTGACCATATTTCACGTTAATTTTAACTCATGACAACTAATTAACGTGATGATAGCATGCAATTGGGTTCAATACATGTGCAAAGCTATTACTCGTTCCATATATTTATTTATTCATTTCAAATGCCAGGCGTTTTGATAGATATCATTAGCCATTTAGCTGACTTCGGGCTTCACAGAGGGAAGGTACATCAAAGTGGCAGAAATTTGGGGGGTGTGGGAACAGAAGAGCGATTCACAGATGTAAAAGAGTCAGACAGACACAAAGGTAGAAAAAAAGGTAAGGTGAGTACTGTGAAATATGACAACCAGGGGGGGGGGGTCGTGGTAGTTTGAAGTCAGAAGTCAACTGCCGGTTAATAGACTTTTTTGCCTTATGAGTATACGTTGCCCAGGGTGCACCACGTGAAGGTAAGTCTACCACACACCCCACTCCTTCCATATTAATTATGCTCTTTTAAAGCAACATATATATGTGTACATATAGATCTATTTAATGATTTGGGACTTGAAATAGAGTGAGCACTCCCCAAACTCTAAGAAGTAGTATTTAAAAAGTCTAATTCATACAGAATTAGACAATTTAGCTAACTTTGGAATTTTGATACATCTGCTTTCTGCTTGGTAATAAGGCAGAGCCAAAAAGATTTATAGTAGCTCTATTCACAATAATGCTGTTTTTTGGAGTATGCATTTTTATCACATATACTTCCGTGTGGAACTGAAATAAATTCCCAAACTGTTAAAGACTGAAAGGTCCAAATGTTCTGACCGAAACAGTTGAATTTGTAGTAGAGACGGAAGGAGTCATGAATGGAAGGTGGAATCACAGAGGAATTGGCCTCGATAGAGTGGCAAGCTGATCCGGATTTTGAGGGAAAAGGAAATATTGTTCGACAAGGCGGTTGGCGGATCAGATACCCTTTATCAATGTTTGCTGATCATTCGGCGACTAGAAAGGTTATAGATAAAAATTAAAAACTTCATAAAGAAGGGTAATTCAACGCTGAGAATTGAAGTGGCCAATAATAGTAAGCAATCGAGGATATTTGGCAGATTTTATTGGATCAGTTATTGATTTTTATCGACATATAACCAATCACGTTGACTTCTACGCGCAACCGCAGATAGTGGGAAATTTACAAAAGTTATAAGATACCGAAAATTGTTTATTGTTATTAATAAAAAATATTCAAGACTGTAATACTTTATCAGTTAATCAATTATATCCAGTAATGTTGATAAATGTCTTTTTAATTTCTCTTTCGTATAATAACAAAATATTTTTTATTTCTGAAATAGACTATTATCAAACAAAAACCAATCACTATTATTCATTTCAAAAAAACCTAGTTTTAGTAAAAGTAAATGAAAATGTAAATTTCGCCTATGCAAGTTAATCTTAATTTTTTCGGTTGCAAAGATTTCAATCCATTTTTTTTTCACATAGGAGGGCGTAAATTTGCAGCTGCAAACGGAGCGATTTTCTTTGAAGTTTCAGCAGCAATCAATCATCTTGTTGACGAATTGCTGGTGGATATGGTGGTGCAATGGCGTAAAGAAGTAGCCAAATTTGAGTTTAGTCGACTTGGAATACCAGTTCACAATTTCTCAGGCACAGGCGATTCGAGTGATGGACCATCAGATTGTCGTGGACGTCAGAGTTGGACCTCAACGCTCAGTAATCCTCGAAACATGCTTCAACGCATATTCAAACAACAATTCACCACAAAATCATGTATTGACTTACAAAAGCACTGAAGGGTGGCCATTTCTATTCACTCTCTCACTCTCTTCTCTGTAAATATGAACTGATTAA